AATGCACGTACTAGTGTTATTATTTAGATACATGTACTAGTACCTCGAATAAACAGGAAACACGTTAGCTAAGTGATATCTAAACTACCGGTACTCGTAATATGAAGAATCACAGTCCCTCTATTCTCTCTATATATCATAGAGGGACTGCGGAAGAATCTAAACCTACTAGATCGCTTCTATAATTATTTATTTGGTGTCTTTAAAAAGTTTCCGTTCAGTCGTTCTTTCAAGTTTTTGTTGCATAATGTCATACACCATTTTTCCCGTTTCCCGTTGAGCTATCAATCTATCACAGTGAAATAATTCTTTGCTCTGCCATGTGTATATTAGGGCGCGTACCTCTTCTTCAAGCCGGGAATTGCGTGAAATTACGAAATATGTTGTCTCCGCCATAATTGAAATGATAGGTTACTTGAAGAAGACGATTGAGGGCGTGGTTTTGGCTCCGATAGTTTGGCCCTGATGCGTTTACACGATCAGAGCTATGTCGGGACTCAACCCTATCGGAGTTCAACCCCGAGGGTTTAGTGAAGCCGAACTTGGCTTGAGCCAAACACGTTCACACGACCATTTTTGCTGGCTCGAGCCGTAGGGCTCCGATAACATGCTGTTGTGTGAACATAGCAACTGTGTTTAGCAAGCTTATAATAATTACACTATCATATTTTACAGAGTTTGAACAGTACATTTGAAGAATTAACAGTATTGAATGAGTTATACAATTATGCCAGTAAATATGGAGATAAGGTGAGTTTAGCCTTTGACCTTGGAAATCTAATCAATCATAATAAAATATCAACCAAGTTCAATTTAAGTGTGTCTACCGGTAGCATGTATAATTGTGATGTGAGTTTAATTTGTTAGACATACAAGTAAGTGCACATAATGAAGACATTTATACTTTTGATAGTAAGAAACCTAATATTAGTAATATGTACTCCAAGATCTGTTAGTAACCCGATAATCATTCCCCATCAAACAAAAAGGAAAATTACATGCTGGTCGGGATATTTCTTTCCAGGTTTTGCTTAGATATATTGCTGTATTATTTGAGAACTTTTATATAATTGATTTTATAATATTCTCTAAGGGACCCTGGGATTAATATATACATGTAGTGACTGTATTAATTGAAGAACATGAATATTATATTATTAAAAACATTTTGTTTTCCTTCTCTGCTTTTCCCTGTTTTTAATTAATAAAAATGTCACAGCAAAAGGTGAAACATCTGATTCTGTGTGTGATGCCCTGCAACTCTGATTCTGTGTGTGATGCCCTACAACTCTGATTTGTGTGTGATGCCCTGCAACTCTGA